TAGGTGTGTGTTTCACTTCTACACGAACGTGCACCTAAGAAAGGAAGGTAAAGTAACACTGGATAATTTTATGATGAGCACATTTTGATTACTTGGATACCTTTGATGTTCGGAAAACTAAACGGTATATCCAGACTGGGGAATATTTTGAACCAATCCAAAATTATAGCAGATCTTGTAAAATGTTCGTGTTCCGTTAGAAGCTGGTTATGAAAATTGATTGTTTCATTGTATCAACACAATGTAAATTTTGTACACTCAAATGAGCACTGAATGTTTTATCAGTTAATATACTAACGGTATTGAGGAAACTGATAAGAGAATTTTTAAGTATATGTGTTATGTTTTGATCATTGTACAATATTGTGGTTATGTGATAGCTGTCACCATATTATAGAGTAGTTACCATATTCTATCATTCAACACAACATCCTACTGGGCATTTCTAAATAAAAAATATTTTCAGAAATCTTGTAATGTTTCTCATTCACTTCGTTACTATTCTTTTATGTGGTATGCTCATTTTTCTGAAATTTGTTCCGTTATTTCCGAAAATATGCCCCTCATTTCCTTTCTTTGAATGATCTTTTTTTAACTTTTCCGTTTTTCTGAAAATGATAAATTTTTGACATGCAAATAAGAATAGTGTGCCATAAAATTCCTACTTTTCATCAATTTCTAATACTGATAGATAAAATTATGAAACGATTTTCCCCATTTATTTGATGAGTTTGATAATAATTGAATTTATGACAGATTCATTTATTTAAGCAACAAATTTGTCTTCTCAATCCATTACACAAAATCGCTCATTTGATTCCCGTGAGTTCTGCTCACAAGCCAAACAATTGCTGTCCAGTCATGACATTATTCAAAATGTATGTATGTTTATCTTTTCCATTTTATTGATCAATTTTTGTATGGCTGCATTTTCGTTCTACTCATTCACTCAAAATAACAAATAAAAATAACGAACGTTTTCGTCTCATTCACTCAAAAATTATCGACTGTCTGATTAATTAAGTTCATTTTTATAAGCGACTCGAATTTTGAATTCAAAATCAATTTAATTCTTACCTGTGCCAGTTGAAATACAGTTAAAAAAATCAGGAACATTTGCAGCAATAAGTTTAATGATAATGGCAAAAATTGCTCATAACTGCTGATATTTGTGGAAATTCGGTGTGCTACCAAAATTTTATTATTCGCAGGTACTAACTGGGTTTGATCTTAATGTGATTTTAAGTTTCGATCGGAATTTGAAGTCAAATGTGATGTGTTAGCATTGGATTTGAAAGATGCATGTTATCATTTCATAAGCAGCTCGATCAGTTCGATTGACACTTTCATTTTGTCGATTCAAGAATCAAGAATTTGTGAATATGATTGCAATAACTATACAACAACTGTGCTGTTCGCATCTGAAAATATTTGTGAGAGGATACATCAAATCTCGAAGTATTTGGTACTTGATTTCAATATTCATTGCACTAAGTTGATGAATTCGTTACTTTGAAATTGTTCATCTAATGATATCTTTTTGAGTGAAATTTTAAAAATAATTAGTATGACAAATTATTTACAAATTCTGTTGATGTATTTGGTAAGTAGAGATTGTGATAACAGCTAAATACCACTGATCATGAGACGTGATTAATTGTGAGTAGTAGTTCATTTGCCTTCAACAAAAATACAGAAACGATTCGCTCATGAAATGTTTGCATATGCTAATTAACATATTCTTAGGAAGTATCAGCGAATGAAACGCTAATAAAACTAAGACGTGCAAACGGTATACATCCAAAAGCAATGTTGCTGATGAGTCGAGAACAATTTTTGGAATCAGTGTTGCGAAATATCATCGCAAAATCAGTGCAATTAATTCAAATGAATAATGTTTGCCATGAAGGTATTTATCCGTTCTTGAATAATTAATTGAACGTATCTGCTGACCAAATAATAACTTACTTTCGATTCATTCGTTTGTTTATCCAATAAAATTTAATTCATTTATTCATTATTTATTGTGCTATTTGTACATGCTTAAGTATCAAAATTTGGGTACAATTCATGTATATTCAACAAGCACAATGAATCAAAGAAAAAACTAAAGTATCTTTATTAAGTTCCTGATTCGAAGCGAAGACTGCCTTTTATGGCACCAAATTACTCACTTCTGTCAAATCAGCAACTTATTTGTGGCCTGTGCGATACTCTTGTTGACTTTACCAGTCAGGTAAATATCACAGACCTTCACAATGTAATTGTTTCATAGTAGTAATGATAACAGCAGTGATGAAATGAGTGATATTGGTAATAAAACTCATACATTAATACCGTTACTAATCTCATTGCTTTTGTTATTATTGTAATCATCATTTCCTTCATTTGCATTGTTATTGATAGTATTATTTTTGCTACTGTCATTGTTATCGCTTAATTTTCAGATTATATTTTGCACAATTGAAATTTCTAGATACTCAATCCTGAGATTCCAGTTGGACTTGAAGTCGCAAAAAAAGTCGCTGAAAATATCTCTCGAACATGTCAGAAAGTGATGCATTATGATGTACTGTTTTGAATATTTTCAGTTCATTATTACCTTTCATTCACATTCGTTAACAACTTCTCGAAAGTTTAAAAAAATTCCAGCAATAAGTTCTTAAATTCTCGACGAATAACTTCATTCAAAAAAAAATTCATTCATTTTGCGCTATTATCCCACTACCCTCCATGGTGTAAAGATTGGCGGTTTTTCGTCATGAAATGAGCAATGATGAAATGGTGTTGAATGGCGATTCTACTGACAAAATTATTCGAGAGGTAGCGCAACTAACTGGTTTATTGCGGAACTGATTCGTCGATATAACCAAAAACGACTCTTTGTGAATGTCATACTCATACTCGCTAACTGTTATCAGATACTTATCGAATATTTCTGGAAATCAGTACAAAATTATTTGTCAGTAATTATTTTTAACATCATTTCTTTTCTTGATTTACAGTTTTAAAAATTATTGACTTCATTTATACGATTTTTCAAGGCTTCTGCTTGTGATGAACTCGCCCAACAACTGGTAACACTCGTCTCACAGTTTCTTCCGCAAATGAAGGGTGTTATTTGCGGGGTGAGTGGCCACATTTCATTTTCTCGAATAATAGTACAAGGATGTATGAAGTTTCGTGAGTGTGACGCTTTATTAGAGGCATGGAGACCTGCTGAATTCCGCAAAAATCGCGAGAGTTATCCATTAACCGATTGTGTCAAATTTTCTTGTTGAGACTTCTCCTCTAGAAAGAGGCATATAAATTTCTTAAGATTGTCCTAGAGTAGATAACTGTCCTAGAATAGAGAACATTCGACAAAATAATCTATTAAAGAAGGAAGAGAAGAACTTCTTGGCGAAATACGGTAGATTTTCAATGGAGATTGAATTTTCATCATTTGTGAATGAAAATTTTTCTACTGATGAGGCTGTAATCTTCAGTTTTTTCAATGTGTGTTTGAGTTGCGTTGATACATGGAATTCTCTAACTTATTTTCTCTTGTTTCCAAAATTTTATCGACCAATTCTCATTCATTCAAGTTCCAATTGTCATTCATTAAAGTTAATGTAAAGTTCATAAACTGTCAATCATCAATATGATGTATGCTTTCTTACAGAGAATTATGGAATGCAGTCAGATGCAACCGAGCGTTTGAACTATTGGAGCGAAATCAAACACGATGACCGATCACCATATATTCTAAAGAAATTGATAGCAACTGCCAATTAGTTTAAAGATATAGGTTTTCGTGCTAAAAGGACTGAGATGAGAATAACGGTTAAAAAAAAGATAATAATTACGATACATTACTGATTGTCGACACTGCATTCAAATACTTTTTGTTTTCATTATTATAATCCATGCATTATTATAACCTTTACCATTTACGTTTCCTGGCGAATAAAATTCATTCACACAAATTTTTTGATATACTGGTTGTCAATTTCGGTTATTATGATTTAAACTGGAATTAGTGATCCTTTAAAATTGTTCTACTCAAGCTGCGAGCAAGCTTTACTGAAGTTGGATTAAATCCATTTGAAATACTTCTCGTTGGAGAAAGCAGTTGTTAATTAGCGGAGAGAGCTGTGGGACAATGTCTTCATGGATGGCGCGCGTGTGTGTGTGTGTTTTAGACCACACCCATCTTCTCCTGCACCCGTAGGATTACCACGAAATCCATATCAACGGAAGCAACATGGCACTGGAACATGTGGAGAACTAGGAAAGTGAGCACTTGTTTACTTGGGGGTGGGGGTTGCTCGCGCACAACAACACCCACATACGTTCAGGCACATTATGAACGACGCTTTCACATGGACCGAGGCCATGCGCAGTAGGTGTAGCCTCAGCCCAAGAACAGTCTCAGCCTCAGCATAAGCGTAGCCTCAGACTCAGCCCAGGTATAACCGCAGCCTTAGCCTAAACGTAGCCTCAGCCTAAGCATAGCCTCAGCCCCAACCGAAGCCTGAGCTCGCTTGCTAGTCCCCCGTTGTAACATCGAGCAATCGCTGGACGTTCGTAAAGGCTGAGGTTACGCTTAGACTGAAGTAGAGGCTACAATTAGGCTAAGACTATGCTTAGGCTGAGGCTACGCCTACTGCTCATGGCCTCGATCCATGTAAAAGCGTCCTCCATAATGTGTGTGAGCGTGTATGTGCTGTTGTGCGCACGCGTGCTCGCGTGTGACCCCCCAAAGTAAACAAGTGCCGGAAAATAGAACCACAAAATACACAGGTTGCGAAATTAAGCAGATGAAAACAAAAAAAGAAATATCGAGGTGAAATTGATAAATGTAGGCTGATAATGGCGGGGGGNCAGATATGATAGCATTACCAGTTGCCTGCACAGTTCAGATGTGAATATTCAGACTATACATTCATTGACGGCTGAAGCGAACTGGAAGCTGATCATCAATGGTGTAACCTCTGGTGCGAGTATAAACTTCAGCATCCCAATTCATAGCAAATCGTATATGCATCGATCCGTTCAAACTCGGACTTGATCCTGCTTTTGCAAGCTCTAAAGTTGGCAAGTAAATTGCGTTCATCTGTAACTGCTGCATCATCCTCCATCAAGTTCTCACAACCATTTTTTCATGTCTCTACCACTTTTGCTGATAACCGCGTGTATGTGCTTAGATTACCGTTTGCCCATGTGTAGATATGCAATTCGAATTCAAATCAGGAGTATGCTTAAGCCTATACTTACGCTTAGCCTAGTGATGGGGCTAACGCATAGGCTTCCACTTATGCGTGAGCACACGAGTATCTGTGATGGCGCAGTGGCGCCCGTTATCAGCGAAAGTAGCCAAGTTTCTTTAGAGGATTAAGAACTCAAAGGTACTTTCACACTGTAACAATTGCAGTATTGATGATTACACTAGACAACTTTAGAAATTAATCTCGAAACCAGAAAATAGATTTCGGAACTAATTATGTCTTTGCAAACAATACGATAAATGCGAACTCAAATGCATCCCCCATCTGTAGTGTTGTGTGAGCAGCTTATTGCATGCGTCATAAACACGTTCACATTCTCTTTCGTTCTCATTCCCTCAATATATATTTGTTTTGCTCTCTGCATCCCTCGACTTTGAACATATCCGTACGTTCGATGTTCAAATACTGAAGGTGGCAACGAACCGCCAATAGTGAAACGTTTACCATAATGAAGCAAACACATGTTATATGTTGAGCGTAATAATATCATCAACTTCAAGCTTTTATTTCTAAACAAGCACCATCAAAGCAGTGAAATATTTTAAGCACTAATTATCAATCAGTTTTACAATTCTTTTCAGGTTTGTAAATTGTACAGCACAATGCTTCGACGAAATACATCTATAGCTGCACATTCAAGACATCCGAAGTTGAGACATATTCAGAGTATTGCTGTACACAAAGCAACACCAAAGAGACCACAAAAAAGGTAATATTGGCTTAAACCAATTCAGTTATTGAACATCATCAGGATTCTATCCACTAAAATGTTCCTGTGTATGAATAGTTCGTTTATAAATGGAGTTTATAAATGATCTGTTCTAGATCATAGCATAAATTTAAAATTCTACTGTATCGCTCACTGAAATGATTTGAATCGATAACATTGATCAGTCACTAACCACTTTAAAAATGCGGTGTTTTAGAAATTAACCGTAGTATATTCAGAAGGCTTCATTCATCACATTGCAACGATCAGCTGGAAAATCGAGAACAACGTGTAACTCGTAGTAAAGGTAGTATCAATGATGAATTATATCATCGAATAATAAAGGGATCAGAGGCATCTGATAAACGATCAACTAATGCTCGTAGCACATCACAAATGGCTATCAGATCAAATCGTAACCTCAACCATTCATCGAACGATATTCAACAACCAGCATTAAAACGACCAAAATTCGGAAGCAATAAGAAAGATGTAGCCGTAACACCGAAAAGAAATGAGAATCGACGATGTAACCAACTTAAAAGAGATATGCCCAGTAGGAGTCGTGCTCTGTCAGTCAGTAGAAGTGATAAGCACTCAATGAAGCGAATAGACGATACACAAACGCCGTCGTAAGTTTATCAGATAGCCTCTTCATCACTACTGTCACTAATATTTTACAATCTTCCATGTTTAACACTGAAACAGATTGGAATATTGATGAAATATCAATGAGTTTTTAATGGCTCATAACGCTGAATCAACAGAGCGGTCTTTGCATGCTTTAAATGAGTGAGATTCATGTGATTTATTAGCTCATCCTCATTTTTTACACGTCTTTCAAAAGAAGAATCTCATTTTCGAATGTAAGTAACTTTGCTCATTATATTAATAGTGATAAATGAATTCATTTCATCGTTCAAATAGATCCTCCAGTGAGTGTAAGTACAGCGTGAAGCACGAGAATGGATCACCTCCAAAAATACCAGATGATCAGGCAAGCAGTGATCATGCAACGAGATCACCATCAATGAAAACACGTGGATGGACTAAAATGAGGTTGCTATACATTTTGAGTGTAAACTTTGTTGTGAGATCAGTTTCAGGCTCAAAATGATTTTTTATTTCGAATTTACATAAAATAACGAATTTTAGTTGTGGGAAAAATTGACATTTACATGAAAAAATTTACAGAAAATTGCAAATAATTTGAGTCCAGTTATTTTACTGGTTCATGCCACAGTTATATGATTATATGTTAATGTTCATTTGCTCAAATACTTTAATGTGCACAAATATGATACCGTGATTTATTTATTTATTTAATCAGCAAATCCAGCTCATTACGAGTTTATGCCTCTCTGTTATCACCAAAATCACTAATATCGCATTCTTCCTTCCTTGGCATTCTTTTCGCGCAGCTAACGATAATAACGGTGGGAATCTCCATGAAGTTCTAAGTTGGATTATTAATTTGGCGAGCACAGAGGTTTTGAGCTACTCTGCCATATTGCCCAATGATATCTAGAGAGAGGGACCCAAAAGGAGCCCGAAAATACATTCCGATTGATCGGTTGAACATCCGTCCATCAATCTAAAGGAGTAGCTGTTTGGAACAACCAACACTAGTGAATTAGTAAACTTTCGATATCAATAATAAACAATTAATGTAATCGAGTAGATCCATAGCAATCGGCGTATCAAACATTCCATAACCAAGCAATAACGAATGCCAGTTGCCGTAAATAATTCGCACATTTAAGTACAGCCGAATATCAATCCATAAAACCATTGCAACAATGACTTTTGCCAGTCGCATAGAGCGATCGGCAGATCAACCGCTTAGTGTCCAAACAATCCAAGTAACCTCCAATACCGTGATATATCTCTGAATATATCATCCATTCACCTACCCATTCTATTCACTAATTCTGTTCATCCATTCTTAATCTGCTTTCCTTGATTTTACTTTCCGTCATTTTCAGGAAACGTTTAATTCCTCACTGTCGAGTTTGTAAACGTGATGCCGAAACTTTAATCAAATGTCTCAGTTGTGGAGCGCAGTGTATGTTTTCGTTCCCATTTTATTTGCTCGTAAATTTTCTGCACTAAGCATCTTTTAGCATAAAACTCCTCAACCTTCATTGATAGTCACTTTTCCTTTAAAGTCATTGTGGTCGCATTCGATTGTATGCCAGTATGAAAATGTTTTTCATCAATCTCTTAATAATTTATTTCTAATTAGATCATTTGGAATGTCTCGAATACGATTCTGATTCACTGGAATCCGTTTTCGAGAAACGGTCGTGTGATTGGTTATGCCCAAAATGTATTGTTTGCACGTCATGTGCTCAATTCATAACGGATGTTAGTCGAATTGTTTTTTTTTTGTTATTTAAGAAATATCATTAGCGGTCAATATCATCATATCCCATCATCTGCTGATTCTTCTGGTGTGTGATGCACGAGAAATGATTTTCATTTGATCATGGATGATTCGTTATTCAGAGCTTCGTAATAATTGATGTTTACCATCTGAGTTGGCGATTTTTTTCTGGCTAGTTTACCCGTTCGTAAGTTTCGAATGATTTGCGTTCAGCGATGAATTGCTTCTTACTATAACTGCTCATCATCATCGTCCATTTCTGAGAGTTAGTCTGAAGAGTCACCTTACTGAATGAGTTTCGTTATCATCAACAAAATTCATTCAGCAACACAAAATTCATCGATACTTTTCAGAAAGAGAACGTACAGTGCGTCTCATGTGATCGAGCATATCATGGTTCATGTAAACCGATCCCAACCTCAAAATCTATCTTTCCTGTTGAACCATTCTTCTGTTTTGAATGTATGCCTTCTCATCAAACACAGCCTATCAAAAAGTTGGTTCTTCCTTCTTTCGACTATCATTTTTTGATGTCGTTTTATATTGATAGACGCTTTTTTGTTTTCATTTTAATGTATGTATTTTATGTTTTGTGAAAAAAATTGTAATTAAAAAAAAACTTGAAAAATTAGTTCCCTTCTGTTACTTCGTCATAATTGCTTTTATACTTGACGTCTTGTGATGTATAGCAACCGAATTCATAACTGATGGTGGTTATATTTACAATTGTATTGGTGATGAAATTGAATGTTGAAGTGAATTGATCGATAGTTCTTCGTCCACGTGTACAACTCAATCACTGAATGGTAACAATAATGATTTACATTCATCGAAAACTAGTAATTCAAGTTCATCTCATCTGAGAATTAAAACGAAACGAACAAGTGGAAGTGGAAGAAAAAGTGCTAGTATCGCGAAACAAGCATTACAACAATTACGTGATAGGGTATATTGCTTTTGTTTGTTTGTTTAGTCATTATTCAACTGTTGATCCACTTGAACAGAAATATCATTCGAGTTTTTGCACATTCAGTTATTGATAGAATTCGCTGAACTGAGTGACATTTGTCAGTCAGGAAGTTTGTGTGCAGATTTTTCGTAATGAAAAGCGAAAATGAAATTTGCAATTGCAAAGAAATATGAATGAAGTGAGCATCGAATGGTGACTGAATTTGATAATTGAAGGTGAACGATCACCTGAAAGATAAAGCGTCAGCCGTACTGAATCGACAACATCAAACTGCAAAACTTCGGCAAGCAATCTCACCGAACAGAATTAAAACAAGTCAATCGCCAAGAACGCCGACATTAGTAATTTTCAAAATTTTATCGTTGCCATACCAGTATGTAGAACGAATATATTTGAAGCAGTTTATCATTCGTATAAGTAATATTATTTTCATAAAATTTTGTGGGTTCATCCCCCATTCACTGAAAAAGTTTCATCATAGAAAAGTCATTGCGCTTTCGTGAAGTGATTATTTTTCAAATGAAACAACGACTGTTTAAAATCGATTCTCAGTTTCACAACTTTTCGAATGTGCTATGAAAAATCTAATCACCTCAGTGTTATACTACTATTCTATCAACTGAAATTAGTTATGTTCGTATGTAATTAGTGTTGAAGAGAATGTAACGTGTTCATTTAGGCTACAAATCGGATGGATTTGGAGTCAAATTCACCTCAGCGAGTGAAAGAACGTGAAGGATCGTCGAGCAGTAGCAGTGATGGGGAGGATGAAAATGATGCTAACGTTCAGAGTAGCTCATCCAAGAAGCAATTATTCATAGGTGATAGATTGGGACTGAACAAAAACACATTGGAACAGTGTACCGCATCTGATGATTTTCAATTGTAAATCATTTCTGTTTCACTTCATTTCATTTCATATACGTGCGTAATATTCAACAATGACGGTCATTTAGAGCATCGAGTCGAAATCATTTATTGGTACTGTCATCAAGTGATTGTTTTTGAAGGTTTATGAATGCGAAGAAGCAGTTGGCTGATGAGGTGAATGAAAAGGAATCAGCAGAAGAACCAACAGCACTATCTAATAAGGATTGCTGGATACATTATGCAAACTATAAGATGAAAGCTGTCAATGAATCGCCATTCCCTAAAGCAATCGCACGTGCCGAACATTTGTTCGTTTGCCATTTCTGTTTAACACCGATGACAAGTCGAGATCGTTATGAAATTCATATGGTTTGTTTTTCGATGGATCGGTTCTTAGATTTGTGCTGAGAGTGTGTTGTTGTCGTGAGAAGGCGATAGAATGTTAGAAAGGAATGTCTAGCAATCCCAACTTTTTTACTCTATACGAAATTGGCAAATTTTGATTGGCCGTAAATCGAATTTTTACAGCAACATTGTAATTGGTACCATCCACCTGGTAACGAAATTTATCGTGACGAAGACCTATCGTTCTGGGAAATCGACGGTTCTGACGAAGTGGTAATGTTTCTTTATTTTTTAAATTTTAATTTCTTCCAATCTTGTTTCTCTGTTCAGAAGCAAATAATGGCACTTATGAACTTTTTGATCAACGGCGTATTTTCTCAATGGATAATTTGTTGTTGATTGATTCATATTATTTGATTATAAATACGCGTTTAAGAGATATTGTACGCGACTTTGTTTATTATCCATTTTATTGTTACCATCTAAAGTGGCCTATCGAGATATGGAAACGTTCATATTCTACTTACTCACTGAAAAAACAAGCGATGGTCATGTTTTGGTTGGCTATTTCTCAAAGGTTATTTCTGAAAGTTTTATTTTTCAAACAAATTAATTGATTTATCAATCAGTTGTAGTACTGCTGTTCGTAATGGGTCATCGGCGATATTAATGAACGTCGTAAACGTCAATTAATTTCTTATAGCTATTAAATCATAATGAATTTATCTGCATATTACCTAAGCATTAAGATCATGCACTAAGAAGTTCGCATCACGAATTGTTGGCTTAATAAAGAAGTGGCAATTATGTTTGATAATTTTATGCACTTACATACCGTTTCTCTGTGATAAAGAAGGCCGGGAGATATGTTTCTGGAGGCGGATGAGGTGGTCTCCCTGAAATTTTTATGGCAGAAAAGTTACTGGTGAAAAGAGACGAAAAAAACAAATAATTTAATTTAGTGAATATCTTTGTTTGTTCAGATCAGTTTCGTGTAGGCGTTTTTAGGCAAAAATTACGAGCCTCTATACGAATTTAGTGTGTTTGTGTGGTTGAATTTTTTCTTGTGGAAGACAATGCATTCAGGAGAGTAAGGAGACAGATTATTCACGAAAGTGTCGTAGATTTTTGCAGTAATTTTTGATTGTTTGTTCAGGAAAAGCAGCCGAGCCAAAACAATAATCTAAGTTGTTTGTTGGTATTTCCCATGGTACAACGAGCTGGATATGGCAAAATGCTAATTGATTTAAGTAAGATCTGATGATTTTTCAAAGATTCTCGATTCATTATTTATCGAACTGTTCCATATTTGCGTCAGGAAGATCCATTTTCAGATATTTGCATATTACTGGAATTATATTCGTATATGTGCGTTGAATGTATATACACTTCAGGTTACAAATTATCGTTGAAAGAACGCAAAATCGGTGGTCCGGAACATCCTCTGTCGAATTTAGGTTTATTGACTTATCGTAGTTACTGGAAAGCCATTATCGTATCGTACGTTCGCAGTATGCGTGGTCGTTTCAGTATCTCGATAAAAGGTTACCTTATTTAAGTGACTGTATGCTTAATCTTTGTCTGCTTGTTATGAGCGTTTTGGACTTGAAGGGTCAGGATAGTCGTGTAGCAAAATATATGAAGAGTGATAAACGCAACATTTAATTAATTAATGATTCCATTCAGAAATGAGCAACGCAACCGGTATACACATTGAAGATATCATTGCAACATTAACTCTCTACAATCTATTAAAATCAACTAATGATAGTTATTATGTTGATGTGGTAAGTAATTCGCTGTTGTAATAAATATGTTGATAAATTTTCTTTTGTTTTGTTTGCTGAGTGGATGAATTCGCTTATTTGATTACAGAAGAGAGTGCTCAGGCTACCGTTACGTTCGTTTCGTTACCGTGCTGTAAAAGATGAAAAATTAATATGGGAACCATCATTCGATGTTGATAAAGATCCGATCAAGATGGGAACCTATAATGATTGATCTCTGTATTTAATTGCTTGTTCTTTTATTCTTTTGACTAATTCTCGGCAAGATTCTTGCTTATTAGAAGTCAACAATTGCTTTGAAGTGAAGAGTCATCATTTTTATAAATCATACAAAGAATATATCCACATTTTTAGAAAAGAAAATGATTGTTGATCGGAAATGCTTCAGAAATGTTTTTCAATGCAATCTTCGCAAGGAAAATTTTATGATCGAGGGGTGCTGGCACGATTAAGAGTGAAAGCGGCAGAATGTATTTCAGCTAAACGTATACTCCCATAAAATTCATGTACAAATATAATTTCATCCATCCTCACAATTACCATCACGACTTTTTGTCTGTTATCCAAACTTTTTTCTGCAAACAAATATAATGGATACTTCGGAATTGGTATCGAACGACACTTTCATTTTGATCCTTTTGTAATATAAGCTGTACAACATTTTTGTCTGTGTATTTTGATTGTCCAATCATTATTTCTGTGGATAATTTTCTTTTTCTTAAGATATTGCATCTTAGTCATCGATCTATATGCTCATAAGAAATTTTTGGGAAATATTATGCATCTTCAGATATATTGTTGGTAACCATTCAGTGATGTTCACTTTAATATCTCTAGGGGTTGCATTATTTTTCCTTTCAGCTACACTTCAGTGTAACGTTGTCTCTCGTTTTCATTCTCATTTGTTTCATCAATTCACATAATTTTCAGTGCTTTTTTAAAATAAGGGATCATTTTTATTGGTTTATGTGAAGCGTTGTCATCTTCTCGTCGTCATCTTCTGTTGTTCCTTATTCTGATTTTTTCGTTTAATTCTCATTTCAACATTGAATTAATATGTGTCGTGCCAGTGATAATAATGCATTCTCATTTTGACACACCTCATTGATGATCATCAGAATAAATGAGTACATGTGTTTTGTGTTGAATTTGAAGAAATATTTGGTTTTTCATCCACTTCATGAATTTAATTCAGTTCATGTGTGAAATTCGTCCCATTTTCTTCTGTAAAATTTTATAGATTACTTATGAATATTTGTGGTATGAATCGATAGTATTTAAGCATGAAGAAATTGATTAAGTGGTTAGCTTTAACTGACGTCAAATTGATGAACTTTATTCCCAGTGAATCATCAGTTGCATACATCTACATGTATCTGAGTTCGTTGATTTATGAACTGAAGTAGCAACTTGCTTCTGTGTGGAAGCAATAAGTAGGGACACATCACCGATGTCAATAATTCTGAAAGTTAGTTGCATTGCAGGCGTATCATATCCGTTGGCATTATCATTGTTCCAATCTTTACATTAAATTTGAAAATATAACAATTATCGTTAAACAAATGTTGGAATGAATGAAGTGAGTTGAGTGAAATTCGATGATGGGTAAATTAAATGAACTACCCAATGAATTGCTCCTGGAAGTATTCGAGTACATTTCTTGCAAGGATCTGTTGCTGAATGTTCGCCTTGTTTGTTCTAAATTTGCGTCGATTATTTATGCTTCAAAGCTTTGGAACCTCAAATTGAAGGTTGTTCCTTTTGAGTCTTATTTCGTTGACAGTTTAATGTGTCATTTATTATTTGTTTTTGGATGATCAACACTGAAAAAGCTAAAACTTGCTGTTGTTATTTTTATAGGATCGATTTTTTCATCCTTCTGCAATGTTTAATTATGCATATAATGTAGTTTGTTGATGTGATTATTTTTCTTAGCGATTGAACATATCGTTGCCGCGATGTCAAACCGTTGAAGAGAATTTCGATGTGGCTCGGTGTTGTAGTGCAATCGAAAATGAAAGGAATCGATGGGCAGATGATAGGTTTCTTTTTTTTTTGAAGTGATAATATTGCATGATCAGTATCAAATTCATGAATTAATTGAGTAGTTGATTCGTTCAGGTTAGGAAAATATGTCAGTATTACGGGCCATGATGCAACTGTTGATGCAATACGATTCGTGAATACATCCGCACATCGAAGATTGTGCATTACTGGTGCCAGGGATCGATCACTGATTTTATGGGATGTTGATAAGATTGCGGTAGTTTTATATCTTTTTGATTAATATTTTCATATTTGCATACGGCTTGAATTCAGTATTACTATGTGATGCCAATTTGTTGTAGATGGGTGACGATTCAGAAAATTGGAACATAGGTATGATCACTGGAGCTCATCAGGTTTGTAAGTTTCCGCTGTAGAAAACTTTTGTGATATACATTAACTTTGTCATGTTAATGCGGGTAAATAATGCACAATCATTGCGAAAATTTCATTTGATAGACTTAATTTTTGATTTTCGGTGAATGATTTTTTGTTGACAGTATTAGCAAAGGTAAGCAGAGAATAGTAGCTCAAAACGTTGTCAATTTTAAGGGATGGATTTGGTCAGTGTGTACGT